CTAGCAGCGTGGATCCCTCCTCTACAGCCTTACCTTACCTTGAGGTGCTTCTGGGGCTTAGCGTCCCCGCGGCCCGGTCGTTGACCAGGCCTCCTGGTTGCCGGACTGATCAACCAGGCTGTTGGACGCGGCTGCTCGCAGCCTGACGTATGAGTCACAGCCTGGTTGATCAGGTATCCTTTGGAGGTGCTTATCCAGTTCTCTCTTGAACACTGTGAGGGGTCGGCCAGTTATGCCCCTTATGTGTAGTGGAAGCGTGTTGAACAGTCTCGGGCCTCTGATGTTGATAGAGTTCTCGCTCAGAGTACCTGTTGCACCTCTGCTCTTCAACGGGGGTATTCTGCACTGCATCAAATTAATAAACAAAACCCAAGTGTTATCAAGCAGTACTACACTAGGAATGGAACGATCATTGTAAAGAAGGGAAGAACAGGAAGAAGTTATGAAATAAAGTGTGACAACAACTACTGGCCTTCTTAATGACTGTGGTATATCAGAAAACCGGCATTCTTCCTATGTCAATACCGAAATATTTCATGAGTGACTGATCCTTGCCTAACCTAACCTTGCCTAGCAATACCTTGTCTAAGATGCTGGCTTTCGCTCTATTGGTTAAATAATGCTCTCTCATCCATAAAAGTTCCCAACTTCTCAGTAAAGTCTCCATGTACTTACGGAAGCATCTACCTCAGAATCTTAGTAAAAGCTTACTCATATATATTATTTTACTTTGTTATCTTTCAATTTATTGCTATTTGATTTATATTAGTCATTTATTGGAATTAATTACTTGAGTTCATATTTTTCTTAATTTCATATTAATTATGGGATCATAACTAAACTATTTATAGTTAAGTATCATTAAGATTATATTACTTTAAGATTATATAAGTCGGTATTAAAGAATAAGGATTAATCTTGTAATGCTTTCTTCATAATTACATAATCTTATTGAATATTATTTTTATCAATCTTTATTATGATTATTTTGTTTTTACTTGACTTCTGTATCCTTCCTGTTTAATTACAATTAATTATTTTACTTTTACTTGTTTCTATTATATTTTTATTTACATTTTTTCGTTTTTACTATAGTTACTTTACTTTTATAGCAGACCTAGTATTTTACTATTCTGTAATTGATGATATAAATGCACTACTCACAGCATTAGGTACTAAACTATCATTTATTATTTTAACAGAGACCTGGCTAAGTAAAGACTATACTCAACTCTACTTTTTCACTTATTGTGTTGCATATAATATTACTTGATGTTGAATTATAATGCAACTTGCATACATTAAGTATACACCTGATTAATAGTGTCACAATAATGCACACACAAATGTTTTCAATTACGCCATGTATGTATTCACATTTTTCATTATTATATTTACACACATCCACTCACTATTTACAGGTTTTTGCAACATCATTGTACATTTAGAAGTCTTGGAGATAGTGGTAGTCGTTGAAGCAGTTGACAGCGCACAACGGGACTGCACACACTTCACACCATATTTGCACTAGTTTACGTTTCTGTGGTCTCTCTTTTTTTTTTTTTTTTTTGTTCTACAAACTATGCAATCACGTTGGTCTATATGCACGCTTTCCAGCTGGTGGCAAATGTTTTAGTCTGTGTGCTTAAAAGGCCTCCGTGTAAGTGAGCCTGGGTGTAGCAGCATGTTGCAACACTGGGTTCATGATGGGGTCTTTGTATGCCAGGAATTTCTTTGCCAAACTTTGTTAGTAACTTTGTCACAAGTGTAAAACCAAACGAACGGAAACTTGGTTTACGTCCAGTTTTCACCAGATACATATTGTAGCTGTTCAGCATGCTTACGTCAACCAGATGGAAAAACACTTTTCTCATCCACTTCAATGTTTTCCTAACACACTCGACAGCGCCCACCATCATGTCACGTTTATCAACCAAACGCATGTTGATATTATAGTCAAGAAGACAATCTGGCTTATATACTGGTTGTTTTGTTACTCGGTTCACCTTGCCACTGTTCACCATTGTACCATCATGAACGGTTGTCAGCAAGTTCACTTCTCTCGTCTTTCCACCTAACTGAGAGTATTTGATCACTTTTTCTTAGCTGGCAGTCACCAACTTCAAGATTATTGTCAAACACTGGCATTTCTCGTCTTCTTGGCTTTACTGTGCCACACACTCCAGTTCTATTTTCAATCAAGAACCTAGCTAGTAAGGGACTTGTATAGTAGTTATCTGTGTATAAAATGTGGCCCTTGTTCATCCATGGTGCCATCAGTGACTTTACCACACTACCTGAGAAACCATGTTGGTCGTTACCGGGAATGTCTACATTGCTAATAGAATACAGAATCATGTGTAACACGTATTCTGTTTCACAGTCACAAAGAACAATGAATTTCAATCCAAATCTGTTGCGTTTGGAGGGAATATACTGCTTGAACCCAACACGTCCTTTGAAAAGCACAAGGGATTCGTCAATCACCAGCTTCTGTGCTGGTACGTTGAAATATCTGTACTTTCCAATCACTTCATTCATAATATGCCTGACTCTCCAAAGTCTATCAATCTCTGTCCGGTCTTCATTACTTGCAAAATGAAGACACCTGAGGAGTATCTGAAACCTGTCTTGGGACATATATTTCCCAAACTAAGGTGTTGGAACAGTCTGGTCTTTGCTCCAATAATCTGAGATAATATGTTTTACACAATGTTTCATCAACATACATAGTGCTAAAAATAAATACATTTCACCTACAGTGGTGTTTTTCCAATGCTGTAATCGTGAAAATTCTGTTATATTTTTCCAATGAGATGACCTGCATGAAGGTTCGTTTCGTGTACAATATATTCCATGAGCGTCTCATCATTAAATGCTGTAAAATAGTCTATTTCACATATGTCCTCACCAGTATCAGGGAAAAGGTTTGTAATACCATCACTCCACACAAGTACACCTTGTGTCCTGCGAGACGAAACACCGGCACTACGGCGAGGAATCGTTGCACACCATGTACCAGGAGCTGAAGCCCGTCTACACAAAGTACGGGTGCTACGCGAACATGAGGTAATATCACGTGAACATGAGGGTCTTGGTTCCTCATGTGGTGCCCTGCGGCGGCGCTTGGCTGGGCGAGATGCTGCTGACATGACAAAATCTCGCTTGGTAACACCACTGGCACTAGCGACAGGCATGGTAACACTATGTTCTGAATCCACCTCATTAAAAGCAGAAAAAGAGTCACCTTCCTCTGACTCGTCGCCCAAAATATCCTCATACTCTAAATAAGTACAAGAACTGTGTGGTCGTGCGCGAATTGGAGTAGACACTGGGCGAGGAGGCACTGGTGAGCGTGTAGGCCCCGCCATGGGAGGAGGCTGTATCTCAAATTCACTCTGTGCTACTATCATCAGTCAATTGTGTGTAGTGCTTATCAATGTCAGAGTTATCAATATCACATTCCTTACCATCAGAAAATAATTCACTAGTTATTTGCTCTTAAGTAAGTGATTGAGTGGTGTGTGCCCGGGAGGCGTTTGGCCGTGCGCTCGCCATGGTGACTGCTGGGGTAACTGAGGCTTTCCACGCGTTGGTGGTAGAGCTGGATTTTTCAAAATGGCAGCTGTTTACTATAGCCCCTAGGCAGCGTGTGGGGGGCCCCCCACTACCCCCACTGGCTATTCAAATCTTGCGCTGTACTTCATTACGTCATATGACGTGATGCGCACTTTTGCGTAAGTTACTCAATAGTCATATGACGTGTTTTGCAGCTTAAGGGTTAAATGAATGAGTATTACCTGATGCTTGGACAAAGAGTGTTATTGTTCATATCCCCAAACCACACTCAAATAATTATAGGCCCATATCTCTAACATCATGTGTTTGTAAAGTGCTTGAACACATTGTCCTTAACCGATTCACATATCGTATACAGGGGCACCTGTCTCCCCAACTGTTTGGATTTATGCCTGAGGCTCAGTACACAACACTGTTTTCCTGACTACTTCGCTCATATTGAAGCTTCCCCTCAAGCCGTCTTCATCAACCTAGCAGCAGCTTTTGATACAGCAAACAGGGAAATCATGCTAGAACAGCTTGCTGAGCTGGGAATACAAGGAAAATTACTGAAATGGATAATGGGCTGCTGAAATGGTCTAATCGAACAGCATGTTTTGTTTAACCACTGTACTGTTCTGCATTAAAATATGACAACCCCTTGGTGCACAGAAAATAAATTCTTTCCAAACAATTATTTTCTCTTCTTATATTGTTAAAAGAAGTCTCTGATCAATGAGAATAACTGGAAAAGTAGGACGCTGGATACTCAATTTCCTGTCGAACAGAACACAAAGAGTAACAGTCAATCAGATAAAATCGAGTCCAAGCGATGTTAAAAGCTCTGTACCTCAAGGTACAGTCCTTGCACTGCTACTGTTCCTTATTCTCATATCTGATATAGACAAAAATACACGTCACAGCTTCGTGTCGTCCTTTGCAGATGACACAAAAATCAGCATGAAAATTACCTCTGCTGAAGACATTGAAAAACTACAAGCAGATGTCAACAAAGTTTTCGATTGAGCAGCAGAAAATAACATGATGTTTAACAGTGATAAATTTCAGGTACTCGGGTACGGTAAAAATGAGGATCTGAAACATAATACATGCCTAATTAAACAGCTTGTCTTATATACTCGCATTTGGGTGAGGTGATATGTTGCAACAGTTTTGTATGAGGTGAACAAACTTTTGACCAACACAAGACAGAACACGGAACATTGGGTATTAATTGGATAAATGAGAGGGAAGAATGGAAGTAACTGCAAAGGGCCTATTGGCCCATACTTACTCTTGATGCTTCTGGTACTCCGTACCAATATAGAACCTGCTCTTACCATAATACATAAACAAAATTATTACATTTTTCTAAACATTTATTATGTTTTGATGGGAAAATTTAGTTATAGAAACCTTAAATGTTTTATTTCCCCTAATAGGTAATACGGCTTCCAGTCTCTGCTCGGCTACCAAGGACGATAGCAAACACAACTTCTGCCCATTAATGATGGTAAGAACACTTTTATTCTTACTGTACAAGAGGTGAGTGTGTGTGTCATGTTGATGTCATTAACCAGTTATGGTGAGCATATTAATCATGATGTTTACAGTAACTAGTGATAATGACTGTATTTATTATGTTTTCAATAACTAGTGACGGTGAGTGTATTTATTATAATGTTATTAACTAATGATGGTGAGTATTAATCTTGATGTCATTAACCAGTAATGGTGAATGTATTAATCATGGTGTTGTCATTAACCAGTGATGGTGAGTGTATTAATCATATTGTCATTAACCAGTGATGGTGAGTGTATTAATCATGGTGTTATTAACCAGTTCTAGCAAGTGTATTAATCATGGTGTCATTACCCAGTGATGGTGAGTGTATTATTGTTATCACCCAGTGATGGTGAGTGTATTAATCATGGTGATATTAACTAGTTATGTTGAGTGTATTAATCATGGTGTTATCACCCAGTGATGGTGAGTGTATTATTGTTATCACCCAGTGATGGTGAGTGTATTATTGTTATCACCCAGTGATGGTGAGTGTATTATTGTTATCACCCAGTGATGGTGAGTGTATTATTGTTATCACCCAGTGATGGTGAGTGTATTATTGTTATCACCCAGTGATGGTGAGTGTATTATTGTTATCACCCAGTGATGGTGAGTGTATTATTGTTATCACCCAGTGATGGTGAGTGTATTATTGTTATCACCCAGTGATGGTGAGTGTATTATTGTTATCACCCAGTGATGGTGAGTGTATTATTGTTATCACCCAGTGATGGTGAGTGTATTATTGTTATCACCCAGTGATGGTGAGTGTATTATTGTTATCACCCAGTGATGGTGAGTGTATTATTGTTATCACCCAGTGATGGTGAGTGTATTATTGTTATCACCCAGTGATGGTGAGTGTATTATTGTTATCACCCAGTGATGGTGAGTGTATTATTGTTATCACCCAGTGATGGTGAGTGTATTATTGTTATCACCCAGTGATGGTGAGTGTATTAATCATGGTGATATTAACTAGTTATGTTGAGTGTATTAACCCTCTGAACTGCACATAGTGCCTTAATGCACTCAATCGGGGGTGCGCATAACCCCTTAATGCACTCGTAGATATATTGTAGGATTCAAAACTTGGGTACAAGATGGAGGCCTGAGGCTTCCAATGAGCATCCACCAGTTTGAAAAATATTCCCAGCATGCCCCACAGCCGTGGGCAGACTCATTTTTTGGCGGGAGCCCCTACGGCTCCCCGGAGCTATCCATGGCTGATATGGATACCCTAACTATTTTGCATCAGTCGATGTGGGTGGAGTTCTAGGCCTACCGGGGACTACAAGCCAGAACCTGGCCCCTCAGAGAGGCACGGGGAGCAATGGCCCATAGAAATGCACATGTGATTTGGAGCTTTCTATATCTGCCATTGACCGGGAAAGCACCCAGAAAGGTAAGCGCCACAAAACAAACCCCTATTCTGGTTAACAACAAAAATCGACAAACGAGTGGACAGAACTCCCCCAGGAAAACGAACTAACAAGCATGACGTCACACAAGCTGCGCCGCATGTCTGTGCAGCTTCCCCCCTTCCCGGGAGTGGGAAGGGGGAGCCCCAGACCCCCGCACCGGCGATCCCCGCCCCAGTTCCTCGGCTGATGGGATAATGCACGGTTGTGTGGCTCCAGCTCCGGTCTTGTCTCAGTGCTGTGACTTGTTTTCAGTGCTGCTCTTACGGTGGTCGAGTGAGCTGGGAGTAGTATTCTCAGGTACTCGGGCTGCATGTGCTTAGGGTCACCTTCCCTGAGTGCCCGGTAAGTACCGCCCTTGGGGCTTGGGGTTGCCTTCCACAAGTCACCTTGGGTCTACCTCTGTTGGCTTTTTGCTGCTTGGCGTTTGGCCGCCCCGAGTGTTTGGGGGTTTTACTCCCTTGTTTCCCTTGGGGTAAGTGGTAATTATAGCACTGGTGGGGGGCAGGGTACTGCGTAGCTAGTTTTCACCTATGACAGCGGCTGGCTCTGTTCCCTCTGGGTACGTTGTCCGCTTGTGTGGTTTTTCTTTTATATTTGTTTTGCCTGGTAGGGGGGTCTGCTTTGTGTTCCACCCCCCCCTTATATTAGGTTCGTTTGTGTGGTGGCAGCCCCTGCCTCGCCCTCACAGGTGGCAACCCGTTCTCACACAAGACAGCACATATATGACTTAATGCTTAAAGTCAATATGTTGAATATGAATTAGTAAATATGTGATATATTCCCAGTTACTTTTTTTACCAAGGCCCAAACTCTTCCTCACGTACCAATTTACGTCTCACAGTACCCGTCCATCAACGTAGATAGCAGAATAGTCGTGTTTGGTTCAATTATAAGGAAAATTGTAGTTTTCAGGTCCCACATGGGTTGTGAAATTTACCTACTATTGTCCATGCTCTTAGAATATTACAGATCAGCTACTTCCTATTGAAGGCTCGTAGTTTTGTTTTGAGAAATATTAGTTGTTCTTAGTAAATTATAATAAGCACTATAAATTATTACATAGAATAACAGTGCTTCACCAATCAATATTATATACCATAGTTTGTGCTTTACAAATATTTAAAGGATGTTTTGTAGGAACGCTAACAGAAAACGATGTTACATATGAATGTCTATGGGGTAAACTACTACAAACAGGACGGTATTGTGTCTACTATACCAACTATAGCTAGGATGGGTATATTGTCACCTACTGCCTGTTAGGTTGGAAAGGGGTCCAATACCACCCACAGGATGGGTATGAGGGTCACATCCACCCACAGGATGAGTATGGGGATCACATCCACCCAAAGGAAGGGTATTGGGTCCAATACCACCCACAGGATGAGTATGGCATCCACTACAACCCACAGGATGGGTATGGGGCTCCAACCACCCATAGAATGAGTATGGGGCTCCAACCACCCATAGAATGAGTATGGGGCTCCAACCACAAATAAAATGGGTATTGGGTCCAATAACACCTACTGGATGTGTATGGCGTCCATTGCCGCGCGTCGAGCTCGCAAACCGCAGCATTCATCTCAGAACCATGCCTATTTCACACAGATTCCTTAATAAACGTAAGAGTTTTATATGTCACAAGAAAGATATAAATATAAGCTTCATTCTAAATACCGTACCATGGGCATATTTAAATTTAAAGCGAAGATACGTGTACTTTTATAATAGCCGAGCTTTAACCCCGGACAGATTGATCGACCAAGCAACTCTCTCTCAGAACAATGTTAGTTCACGTGAATTCGTTAATAAACATATATGTTTTATATGTCTCAAGAAAGGCAGACATATAAGCTTCACTTTAAACACTTTACCATAGACATATTTAAAGTTCTAATGAAGATACATGTATTTTAAAAATTACGGAGCTCCCACCCCGTACAGACTGAACGACAGCAACTCTCTCTCAGATCAATGTTTATTTCACGTAAATTCGTTAATAAACACAAATGTTTTATATGTCTTAAGCAAGATAGAAATAAGAGCTTCATTTTAAATACATTACAATAGACATATTTATAGCTCAAGTGAAGATACATATGTCTTATAGTAGCGCTCAGTAGCTTGTCGGGCATGGAGTGCAGACGCCTACGCACTTGCCGATATATTATATAATTAACAAAGATACGCTAATAAAGCCTAAAATCTCATATGCCTCCAGAAAGACCGAGATATGAACATTATTATGATTGCACCAAATGAAATATATCATGTTCGAGAACAAAGATATATCAATTTTAAATTAAGTTTCGACTCCTGCTCGGGCGAGAGAGATGAGGCGACTCTCGCCCCATCTATTGGAGATTCTGTCCACTAAAGACCCAAAGCTACTCAAACCCTCCTAGCATTGTTTAAGTAATGAAGTAATATGGTATATTTACTATAATGTGGGTGCTGAATGCAGAACATGAGAAAACATATATTTACTCCAAACTAATATAATTTCATTATGAAATAAGTAAATAAGTAGCATCAAAGGAAGTCGACGGTTAAAGCATCAATGTTGTGGAGCGACTTATCCAAGATATATCGTTGTTTGGAAAGTGTTTGTTGGCATATCCAGTTGTCGGACTTCTCTGCACAAATTATCACAAATTTAAATTATAATGTTAACAAGTAGAATACGTATTTTTAATAAAATCTAACATAACTAGCCAGAAAACATTTAACATTTATTAAAAAATATATGTTTGGAAGTTAAATCGACTTCATAGGACAATAGTTTTGTTATATATACTCGTTATTCGTTGACATGCGTTCGCTACTTAAACTACCATGTACTGTACTTATGTAAAATCTCCCATGTCTCTTCGCTCATCTCACCGAACCCTACAGGCTCTGTGATATATTGTTTAATTAGTTGAGATTCACAAATAAAGCTTATAATTGTATATGTTATCAAAAAGGCAGAGCTTATTTTAGTTCATTTATTATGCACCCCATACCCATCCTATGGGCGATAGTGGAGTGTTACAGAGGCACATAATGGGCTCAGGGACTAAGCCCCCACAATTCATATAGCCAAGCAAGTTATAATCTTGATAAGCTAGTTACAAAAGTCAATGTACATTGTCACATCAACAATGGGCTCGAGACCGACCACAAGTACAGTTTATAATTTAAGCAACTGACATATATGGAGGGCTAGTGTCACAATTGATATGTTTATCCTACACATAACCCCCTCTCCCCCATCCAATAGGCAGCGGTGGATAGGTTACAATCAAGTCGTTTTTGCGTTTTATTCAGAGATTAGATCTTATTGGGTGAGGAAAGATATTCATATTTTAAAGAAGGCTTCTTGGCTGATGCACTCCACTGTTGGAAAATATACAACCTTTTGAAAATCAATGTTAGTTTGATCTAGATATTGTAATTAACGAAAGTATTTATGTCATCTGAAAGGTAGAAATATAGGTTACATTTAAAATCCTTTGTCATAAATATAACTGAAGTGAAAACG